TGAAGCGTTGAAACCACTCACGACACGTTCTTTCACTAATAGCGGCCTCACCGCTAAGTATTTGAGAGCATTTGATGAGCCTCAGCCGCAGATTTCTTCATATTGAAGCAAAAAATTAAAACCTTCCGCAAATGACGAGAATTTGGCTCGTAAACTGACATTTTCAATCGAGAAATAACTTTATGATGCAGACACAAATCGACTAATGTTTCTATGGGATTATGTTGACAGATGCCCAAGTTTATTGTATGACGTCTATGATCTATTTATTTCGACTACCACTTACTGCTAAAGCCATATATGGGAAAACGGCGGAAGCAAAGTTGTACATCTAATATTTACAAAATCTAAATACACATACATGTAAAAAAGATGTCTTAAGTAAAATTTGTACATACATGTACAAATTTTACTTAAGACATCTTTTCTTATATCTTATTGTTCCGACGACAATAATTACTTCGTATATGAGCATGAATAGCGTATATACGGAAGCGTTAATAATTAATTCTCGAAAATGATATGTCGTATAACTTTATTACACATGGTTGAATTTATAAAAAAATAATCTTTAATTTGGTAAAAAAAAAGATTAAAAATTTAAGAAAATTACGAGTGGTGAAGGTATTTTGTTAAACAAAAAAATAAAAAAATTTTTTTTTCTTTATAACTTTAAAGTACTCTTGAAATCGCACAACTTTTATTTAAAAAATTTTTTTCTATCTTTTATACTCCCAATGATATTCGGCTCGAAAGAAAAATAGCGTTTTTTTTCGAAGGGGTGTTTCACTCCTTGACATGAGTTAGCGCACGTACAAAAAAATATATGTCTCTTAGATTTTTATGTTTTACAACATATTTCATAGAGAATCAAATCGGTTCCGGACAGTTGTGATATTTCCCTTGTAAGAGAACTAGAGCCAATTAAAGAAGAAGAAGCGCTAGCAGTGAATTTTGAATTCACAGAATTTGAACACACAGCCTTTGTTGACAACAATAAGATTTATATAAGATTATATAAGATTGATATAAGATTGTTTTTTATCATTACCTGTTAATCACAAAATTTTATATCTCTGAATTTGTACAATTTTCTTTTTTTATAATGAATCAATGATTAGTCAGAAAATAAAACTGCAAATGTTACTAATTTATAATTTTCGTGCACTAATATAACACGTACTAGGTGTATGTACCATATATCGCTTGCTTAAGGGGGTTATCAACGGAGTGTTATTTCGTATTTCTCAAATGATTTCATTTTCCTTATACAGAATAAAAAATCCTTCTCCAGAATAAAAGAAAAAACGCAAATACTTTTGGAAAAATACAAACCAGTATGAAAATCCCTAAAAAATTATAAATTACAATTTTCTGTTATCATGTAGATTCGCTTCCTTCACACACACACACACACACACACACACACACACACACACACACACACACACACACACACACACACACACA